GATCACCATTTAGATAGTCAATCGCTCCTTCATTTTTCGCCGCATAAAAAACTGCAGGTCACCAGGTTTCACGAAAATAGGTTGATTTCTTGATTTTCGTCTCCACCATGTTGAATTCGCCACCATTTTGAATTTCTGTATTTTCTTTTAATTTCACATTTCTTCTTTTAATTTCACATTTTGCATCTGAGAAAGCTTGCAAATGTATAAAATTATAACAGATACCAATCTATTCATTTATAGTGCACTTTTAGATGTCAGTAACAATGCTAACTATGCCTACTTGGAATTCGACAAAACATGTTATCATGTTAACATTGAAAACTGAGCTAAAAACAGGCTAAACCGAATCCACACAATCTATATACAATCTATATACCATTTTTTAGAAGAAGAATTCACCTTTACAGTGGTGCAAAGAAAACGAAAATATCTCCTTTCTCGACTAAGTTATGGTTTCTTAAATGCGTTTCTGCTAACTATAGTTAGCAGAAACGCATTTAACCAGTAGGCGTTAAAGGGTTAAAGCACATTTCACTCTCTCCACCGCGAGACTGTTCTGCCGAATGTTCGTGTCGCCCGAGTTTGCGAGCGGTTTTCACTGAGAAAAAACCGCGTAAAATCGCGCGGCAACATTCGTTTCGCGAGTTCGCGAGGAACTTTGCGGAATACGCACCGTCACGCTCGTGTCAGGCAGCAACAAAAGTAATACGCGACTGTTCTAACTGCTATTTCGCGGCTCACTGAGCGGCGCTCTATAATTACGCGTGGTCTGCATGTAATTTTCAAGAGTCAGTGATCCGCGACAAAAGGAATTGATGAAGCGTTTGACCAGCAACTGCGACGACGAGCGGCCCGTGAATCGAAATAATTATTGTTCGTTTACACTGGATTCTCGGCGAATTACTCATTTGTGTCAGCTCCCGGATAATTCTAAAAATTCCAGCGTATAAACGCTCGCCCGATTGGCTCGTGGCACCGATAATGCTGTCCTGATGAAGAGTCGCGATATCTCGCGACGTCCCGATGAGAATCCGCGACGAGATCTCTCGTGGAAAATGTGGAAAACAATAATGAGATGAAATAGTAAGTTAATAATAATAAATAAGTAAGTAAGTAAGTAAGTAAGTAAGTAAGTAAGTACGTTTCGCACAGCGACGGCCGAAAGAGACTCGCAGATTGTCGACAAAATTGCCTGAGGTCCTCTAGATCCTACCGCTAACATCCGCGTTTTGTACCCGGCTTGAGTTCTAAATTATTCGTTAGCTCTCGCTACGTGGCGCTCACGTCGGTGACGAGACTTTCCAAAACAGGTTTCGATAGAAATTCAATTCCACCATTTCCCTCTGTACACGATATCGTATCCCCTTTTCTTCGTTTCTTTTTTTTTTTTTTGGTTTGCTCGTTTTCTCTGCCTACTATTTTGCTCTCTTAGTTGGTTAAAATGCGTATAAAGTGCGCTAGACGATAAATGCACGGTGACGATGAATCGCGCGATTCATTTGCGTTATCGGTGATTCGTTCAACTCGTCAGTTCGTATCTCTAGCGATTTACTCGGCTATTTAATTGATAACAATTGATCTCACGTGTTCGCTCCATAGGCAATGACGTTGCGCCTGTTCTAGAAATCCGAGATCGGAAAAGACCCGGCAACCCGGAGCAAGGGGCGAATCCTGGCGTGCAAACGGCGTAATCCCGGCTGATCCGTACGCGTGTCTGCTTCTCTCTTGCACGTTATTGCAACAATAAAAAATGCACTAGGTTCCCAAGTTCTAGCAGAAAGTGAGAGCGTAGCCGCGCGATATCGGGCCGATCGCGCGACGCCCATCGCGGTTTCCCCTGGTCTGGCTCGCGAGCCTCTGTTTACACATGGTCGGGACGAAAACAATGGATCTCCACAATCGCGTCACAAGTGTCCGAATAAAGATTAATCCTGCAAAATGCGTCCCGTATCGCGCGACCACGCCAACAACTGTCGCCTGGCTCCTGCTCAGGTGCGTTCGCACTCTTTTCTCCCTCCCTACCCTCCCCCCTCCCCGCGAGGACCTCCTCGCGAGGTTCTCGCGAAAATCGATCTGACGTCGAAGACACCACCCAACCACTACTCCAAATCCACTCCACCCTCCACCCTCCCCCGCTCCTCCCGACAAAGGAATATATATATATACATATATATATATATATATATACACACACATATATATATATACATATATATATATATGTCGCGTACACACAACAATATATACGTCCATATAAAATTAGCGACGTCGATCTCTGGCGAAAAAGGAATTGCAATACAGTCCGCTACTAAAATACCATAGAAACCTGTATTCCTTAAAGGATTAAATAAATACACTATGTACACGCGCGTATCCCACGATTCGGCGGTGCACGCGTATACTATATATATATATATATATTTATATATTTGTATATATATATATATATTTCTTTTTTTTCTTCATTTGCTTCTCCTCTCTTTTCTCTTCTCATCGATAACATAGCGCCATGATCGCTCATCGCGGGAGTATATGGCTCGACTAGAACGTGTTTGTTATTTTTTGTTCCTTCTTCCTTCCTTCCTTCCTTCCTTTCTTCCTTCCTTCTTTCCTTCCTTCCTTTCTTTCTTTTGAATTGAATTATTTTAAGGCAAACTCACTTTTTCCTCGCACACACCTCTCTCTTCATCCTTCTTCTTTCTTTCTTTCTGTCTTTCTTTCTTTCTTTCTTTCTTTCTTTCTTTCTTTCTTTCTTCGTTTTACTCTTTTTCCCGATTGATTTTCTTCCTTCTCTTCATTGGAGACACACTCTCGCAAGCACACTCGCGCTCTCAGGTACCTATACACGCATACACACACACACACACACACACACACACACGCATACACATATCCACGCATTGAATACGTCACGCGATCACGTTCGTTGTTAATTGTCTCAGGTCGGGGGTGAACTTATGTGAGTTCCCGGCACAGTCAGAGTTCGTTTTTTCGCGAAATCGTGCCGTTTTCCCGATTTCGCTTCTTTGTGTCCTGAAATCAAAATCAGGGTCTTGTTTAACGATTCAGCGTTTTCCATGAAGAGAGTGAGTGCATAAGAAACAAGTCACAATCATTTGGCGTAACTGAGAGAGAGAAAGAGAGAGAGAGAGAGAGAGAGAGAGAGAGAGAGAGAGAGAGAGAGAGAGAGAGAGAGAGAGAGAGAGAGAGAGAGAGAGAGAGAGAGAGAGAGAGAGAGAGGGAGGGCAAGCGAGCGAGCGAGCGAGCGAGAAGGAAAAGGAGGGGGAGTTAAGCTGCAAGTTAAGCTGGATTAGATTAAGGAGTGAACTTTCGAAAACCACCTACGCTCTGTTGCGAATTTTCATGAAAACGCTTCAAATGATGTGAAATGTATAGCCTTCAGGGGATTTTCATCAACAAAGAAGTTTAATGCGGAACAAAGTTTAAATGATGTTATGTAGCTCGTTGATAACGTTACTCCATTACTTTTCCAGATAAGTCAACGTATTATATATATTTGTTTACTTGTTACCCTGGTCACTTGGTTTCTTTTGGATAAATATTTTCGATCCAAAGATAGAGCGACTGCAGTGAATTGGTTTGAAGAGTTGAGACAGATGTATCACATGAACATTCGTTATCACATATGAACATAATAATTTTATCCGAATACTTGTGACGTTAAATTCATAATAGCAATTAGACATGGATGGTTTTCGGAAGTTCGATCGGAGCAAGTTTCTAAGAAGAGGTTTAATGAGGTTAGGAAGTCAGGCGAAGAGAGCGTAACGAGATTAGGTTAATAGGTGGGAAGCGCGCAATGAATTCCATTGTTAGATCAAAGTGACGTGAGGCATTAGAGCGCAACGTTAGAGGGAAACGATATAACGAACGAGTCGGTGTGCATTCGGATAATAAAGCTGTTTAAAGAAATATCGAGACCGAGGGGCGAGATCTTGTTTCTCCGAGGAGTACTCGATAGCGCCAGCCAGTTGAAGCAGCGTATGAAATTCGACGCGAATATTTCCGATACAAAGCACGCACGCGCACACGCACACGCACACACAAACATTTTATCCCCGTATTTTTCCGCTCCGAGTGAAATCACCGCGAGGAGTGTCGTGTAAAATAGCAATGTAAGTAAGCGTAAACATTCTTCGTGACTTGCGTAACGTCTGTGAGTTAGCTTGAATGTAGGTCGAGGGTGATGTCGTGCGAAATTGAACACAAAAAGCTATGTCTGCACGGCGGCGATCGCTTCGCTATATTTAATCTTGGCTTGGGATATCTCCGCAATAAGCTCCCGGATATTCGGTCGTATTACCCGCGTAATTAACTCGCAGGGAAAACGCACGGGAGCGAGCGAGTCGCGAGTCGGATAGATAACGCGAAGGACAATCGTTCGACGCGGCCGAAAGTGCCCATCGGAGATTAATATTCGGGGGTCCATCTCCGCCGCCGCCGCCGCCGCCGCCGCCGGCGCGGCGCGTTTCGAATATTCTCGTCGATAAAACGCGCGCACGGTATTCTCTCGACGGCTTACCCGAAGCACTTTGACATTTATGCCGGACCCTCTTGACCCGCGTATTATTTTTTGTGGCTCCCCCCCGCCGGATGATTTTTATCTACTACCGAGCGTATCGGCGGAAAATCGATCGAGATGCGCGATTACCGATGTTGAAATAAATTTCAAGCGACTTTCAGCGCGACGGCATAAAAAGTCGAATCGACCTTGTCGAGCCGGAGACGTGTGTGTGTGTGTGTGTAATAAAAATTGAATAAAAGAAAGATTTAATTTTTGATTTTGGCAAGATCGCTCTATTTTGGGCGTGACTCGCGGAAACTCGCGACTAGTCAAGGTAATCCCCCGACTCGAGTCGGCCCGGCCTGATTTATACGAATGAATTCGGCAAAAGTCATTTCTCGCAGCTTCCAAGCGGAATCTACCACTCTCGAGAAGTACAAAGGGGACTTGCGGAGAAGCGTGGACAACTCACCAGGTAGAAGTTTCGTTGAGCACACGCCTTGGCGGACGCCAGTGCTAAGATACGCGCAGTGGATAGGCCGACGTAGTGGCGTCGCACGGACCCTGATTTAGAAGCCCTGGATCACGCCGTAGGCCTCGAGGGTGGACATGATGAGGTAGAAGAGCCAGAGGGAGAACAGGAACACGGATGTGATGACCTTCGGTATAAAAGGCCCACCCAATTCGCCGCCGATCGACTTGGTCCGCCTCACCAGCAGCACCAGAATCACCAAGCAGGCTTCCGTGCAGAACAGGGTAACGGAGAAGGCCAAGCTGCGCCGCAAAAGAGAGATGTCATTTGCTTTGTAATTGCGGCAGACAACGCGCCGGCGCCGGCGCGGGCGACGTGCTTTTCGCCATTCGGCAGTTTCCCGAAGTCTGGTCACGCGACCGAGCGAAATGGCATTTTCACACTTTCCTACGCGATCGTGTCGAGCATTACGCGACGACTCGAGGCGGCCACGAGGACGAGAAAAGTCTGACGCGATAGCGTCCGCGCGCGCTTAACAAACTCGCGTTTAACTGAGAGGCAGAAAAATCTGTCGGGCGGGCGAGGAGGAGGAGGAGGAGGAGGAGGAGGAGGAGGAGGAGGAGGAGGAGGAGGAGGAGGAGGAGGAGGAGGACGACGGACGTTCTGCTCTTTCTATTTTCCGTCGGGAAGTTCTGGGAACTGCGAACTGGTGATTTCGCTGAGATTTCTCGCCACCCCTCCGAAGACGAATGGGAAAACTTCTGTAGCGCAACCGCGGCGCAGATTCATTTTCAGTTCCGGCCGTCGCCGGCGACGTCGGGGAACTTAAACTTTCGTTAAAAGTCAATCGACGGATAGGTAGCTGCGAGAGAGACAGAGAGAGAGAGAGAGAGAGAGAGAGAGAGAGAGAGAGAGAGAGAGAGAGCGAGGGAGAGAGAGCGCGATCGCGGTCGTTACGGTCTGCCATCTGCGCCTACACGATTCGGGTCGCAATTCCAGAACACGTTCGGGCGCAATGCGCGCGATCGATCACTCTCGCGACGAGTCTCGTCTCGCTGATTTTTCGAATTTCTCCCTGGCTTCTGGGCTTCTGAGCGATCGGAAAGCGTGCAGGTTGTACATTCGGAAGGGCTCGGCTGAAAAGTTACCCCGTCGCGGAAATCGCCGTCGATCTCTCGCCACTTAGGTCGGCGGATCCGCAGCGGAATAATACACGCGCGCCGTTCACCTTGGGATATCTCTCTTATTGTTCGATCGCACAATGCCATGGCAACAATGTCAACGCGGGATTACAGCGGCCCCGCACGGTCCACTAAATCACACCGATCCACTAAATGGAAAGCATATGTCGTCTATATATATATATATATATATATATATATATATATAACGGAGAACACATGGCGAATGTATTGTCCGCGAGAGGGACGGCGATCGTCGCGAAGTGAGACGTGCATTATCGGCGTGCAAAACGAAAGATCCCCGCTGTGAACGGCGCTCTTATCGGCCGCCGACAGGATCACGCACACCGCCGGATAACTCTCGTGAGAGATCCTTCCGAGCAGTCCGAGCAAGTTCGCGCAAGATCGCCCTCGACTCGTCGAGGTGATTCGGCCTGGGCGCGATAATCCGATTGATTGCAATACGAGACATTTTCCGCGCGCTCGTGTATTCAATTTCCGGGGGAATGCCGACGGGATATGAGGCTAGGTACGATGGCCCATCTTGCGAGCGGCAAGCCGTCAGAATCCTCGTAAAATGGGTATACGATATCAGCGTCGCAGCATGGAAAATTGAGAGCGCTGTAAAGCAGAGGTTCTCTCCGCGCGTTCCGAGCGCGCGCGCGCGCGCGCGCGAAATGGAGAAAACAATACCGCGAGATCCCCGCTTCGTCGAGGAGACTCGCTCAGGCACCCTCGCGGAATTAATCAATTAAAAAGCGGCCTTGACACGTCAGGGAGACTGAAATTCCGAATTCCGGAAAATGTGCTCTCGTGGTCGGACAATTCGGCGGCTTGCGCGGGTGAGTTTCGATCGATAGTTAATCGCTTTCGACGATTACACACTCTCGAACACTCTAGCGCAGCGTTTATCGACCGGCCTCGTGCCAGCATCTATCTATTAAGGCGGACAAACGGCTAATTGGGATATTTCCGTCAATACGTCACCGATGGCGGACAAAAGTGGTGCGCGTCTTCGTCGAGGCGAACGCCGCCCGGCCAAGCTGCTGTCGCGATGCTTTGACCAAATTTCTTGAGAATAGTTTCGCGAAAGTGATCGTAAATGGGCCGGTGACAGCTGGTTATCATCGAGGCCATGTCGCCATACCTTACCTCACCTAATATCGTAACGTCACCCTGTTACCCTTACGCGATTGCTCCTCGACGACGCTTCCGCTGCACCGGTAACGCGCCCGTAAAATGCGCCGCGAGTGATTGAGAACAATCGCGATTGCTAATCTCACCAGGCGCACTCGATACACCTAGGTAGAAAGGTCAAGCAAAGGGCACCTCGCGGGTTTCTTCTCAACCGGTTCACCGGTGACCCGGAAAATCAACGTTATGCGCCAAAACTAGTGAGAGCGAATAATTTTGTATTTTGTATGTGCATGAAAGCTACGAGGGTTTTTTTGGGTCGCTGGTGATGAATCCAGAGTCGCAAATTGCAAAGATCAAAATGCCGGATCCAACATGGCCGCTCCGAGTGACTAATCTTGTTATTCCACTATGGAGAAGATCGTATTTGATTTGTTCATGTTTTTCGAATCGCTGATGATGAATTCAGTCGGAATTGCCAAACCTGGCGGATCCAACATGCACTGATAGAAAAATATCGTTGAATTAACTATAATCTCACTATATTTTATAGTTCATTTTGGCGTCAACCATATTTTTATAGTTGGTGGAACCTGCAAAATATAGTAGAATAAACACAAATATACAGTCAATGATTGTCTTAAATAATTGTTTAGTTACTTTTACCACATATACATGGTAATTTCTCATTCACAAATATAGCGAGATTTAATATTCATATAGTTACATCTGTCATCATTTAGCAAATATTCTGGTGATATTGACTATATAAAAGAGTTACTTTACCTACCATTTTATACCTGTATCCATACAATAATTTTACTTTAACTTACTATAATTCTTAGTAAAAATATTGTATGGTTGGTTATACTATGCCTATATCGTAATTATTACCGATATTATGGTAATACTTACTACAAATATGATATTTCGGACTATAATTTAGTTACTGTATCATTATAGTTCCAAATATCATATACTTTTCTCTCAGTATGGGGGCTTCTAGTGACTAACGGTATTTCATTATGGATACTTTTACCTCCGTTATTAGCGAGTGAAATGTGTTGAAGAGAACTACTTCTCTGTCGGATAGCTGTGACGGAAACCTCAGATTTATAAATAGTCATAAAAGATAGCCTCAGATAGTCACCGGAAAACTATCACCGCAAAACTGACACTATCGTGATAGAGAACAATTCCGTCTTCTCATTTGTCGAGGAATAAATTCCCAATCTTTAACGTCTCACGAAGAGTCCTCATTTTTTCGGCAGAAGTTTCCTTATAAATCATGTATCAAACAATACAAAAATATTCGAAACCGACTCTGGAGAAAATTTGACTCTGGATCCGTAATGAACGATTCGAAAGATATTATATCTTTGTCTTGAGTACACTCCAATTAAATAACCAAGTTTGTTATCTGCAACCAAAAGAATATACCGAGTTTGATGACAGTCTTAAGCCGCCATTAGATCCGCCATTTTGCAATTTCAATTCTGAATTCATCATCAACGACTGGAAAAACGTGAACACATCGAACATGATCTTCTCTATTATTGGAATATCAGAGTTAGCCGCTTGAAGCCGCCATTATGGATTTGACTCAAATTTGATAATTCGAGTCGTTACCAGTGAACCACCGGTTAATTAGCGAATGCGCGTGTATCGTGTCGGGAAGCCCGAATTCCTTCGCACAGCTCATTTTATTTGCGTCCAATTCCCCGAGTACAGCAAGAGTGAGCGTTAATAACGTGCAAATAAAAGTAGCGACCTCGAAGCCGCAAATAGACAAACAAAATGAGCTGATGCGGGAACCAATAAGAGACCACTCGAGTATAATCTGCGATTCGTGCTCATTCCGGGCAGGACGCGAGTACCCGAGCAGCGCTCCGGTTCTCTGGAACTGGAGTACCTGAGCTGTAAAGCGAGTAAACCGAGGCACCAGCCAGTTCGTAGCGGCCGAGTACTGGCGGAGAAGCGCTTTTTCATGTCGGCTGGATCTTTCGCGTTGGCATCGCAACGTGACGTGGTCGTTGCAGCAGCAACGTCGATCCCGCGCGAATTTCGTCGCGCATACTCACTTGCCGGGCTCGACGAAAAACGTCTGGTTATGGCAGGCATGGTAAATGGCGGCGATACTCCACGCAACGCCGATCCCCAGGAAGACGTTCACCGCGTTACTCCCGGTCACATTGCCCACGCACGCGTCGGCGTACTTGTCCTGGCAGGCGGCTACTTTGCTGGCAAACGTGTCTGAAACGAGAAGCGCACGTCTTGGTGTGAAAAGCAGAGCTCGGCCCAAACGGCCGGCATTATCCGCGCGAGAAGTCGCGCGCGCGCGCGCGCACCTTTGAAATCCGAAGACGCGCGCGCGGTCCGTCATTGATTTAGAGCTCTTTAAGTGCTCGAATTAAAAGTCCCGTTCGAAAGGGGAATAACGGGATATTCGATTACACAGACCGGCCAGAGGGACTATTAACTTTGATCCGCATATCCAATATCCCTCTTTATTGCGTGTCCCGCGCGTGTGTGTGTGTGTGTGTGTGTGTGTGTGTAACGTTTCATTCGCAATGTTGCGTGAGGTAAAACTCGCGTTTCACAGTTCCGCGCAGCTCGCCGCGCCGGAGCTGCTTTATGGGCCGCGCATTCCGCCGAGAATCAGAGAGATCGCCGAGCGCTGCTAAAGCCGAGTGCAGCGCGATTTGCGGCGGGTGTCTTGGCACCGTTCAAACACGTCGTTTACACCAGTTTGCAGTTTATAGCGGAGAGAGCGAGTTCGGTTGCGGAGTCGCCCGGCAAGGTGAGCACCGCGCACGGTGCCGTCGTCGTCGTCGTCGTCGTCACCTCGTCGCTGTCGTCGGTAGCGTGACATGAAGCGGAGTAAGAAAATTCCGCGCTGCGGGGAGATCCGCAATACGTGATGTAATAACGTGCGGTCGGAATCCAAATCGCGCGCGCGCGCGCGCGCACGCGCGGTAAACGCGACGATTTTCCGGAATTATGTTCCAGGACGGATATGCTTGAAAATGGCCGAAAGTCCTCGGGAAAAACACCTATCGCTCAGCCGGCGCGGCGGCAGCGGATGAGAGCTTACGTCGATCGATCTGACTCCTCCTGCTGGAGCGGCCGTGATTTTTGCGAGAATTATTTACGACGCGGAAACGCTCGTCAAGGCAACGCGCTCGGCTCTCGTTCTGCCATTAACGACGCGCCTCGTTAACGATCGCCGCGCGCGCGCGTGTGTCTCGGCTAGACGATGTCGTCTTATTAGACTACCGTATCGAGTAGCGTATATACAATTCCGAGGCATTCTGCACGGGTTTAAGAGTCAACGCGCTTTTTTCAGCGGCGATATGGAAAGGAAGGAAGATCCAAACCGATCTCGTCAAGCGGTACTTTGGGAGATCGGAGGTACCCTCCGGCATAAATATTGATGAGCTTCTGAAGAAGAAAGTTTCTTGCGGAGTTTCTGGGGGAGAAGGAACACGGAGCACGGAAGGGGCGGGGGGAGGGCGGCGGCGTAGAAGTGACTCGAGCAATCCAGCGCCAGGAAGCCGTGCATCGTGCAGATTTCGTCGATATTCCGTGCGATCTTCTGCGCGCTCCGTACAACTCATAAAGTCCACGAGGTATGTCGGCAAAATATTATTTTAGCGCAAACAAGCGGCACGTAAACGCGACGCCCATCGCGTCGACGTCGAGCGTAAAACGTACACGTGACCGCGTAGAGGAAATCGAAGGTCGAAGGGAGAAAGAGAGGGCCTCGATTATCTCTCCGGAGATTCCACGAGCAGAGTCGTCACGAAATCACGTGCGAGGCAAGAAATATTCCGAGTGTGAAAAAGTGAAAAAGTACAATTCTCCGCGATATTCATTCCCCGCTGAATCTCTGCGTAAACCCAATCGCTTCCGAGGGGGAGAAAACGTGCTTCATCCACACTCTGCGGATAATAAAGAGTTGAACTCAAGGCCCGCCTTTGTTGGAACGTTCGTTTTTCATATTTTTATTCGCGAGATTGAAACCCGCGAGGAGAGAAATCTGCGTCGGCGGACTTTTTGATTCGATCTAAAAGAAAAGAAAAGAGAAAAAAAGCACGGAAAATTATATTACCTCCTTTTCGCGATGCTGATTGACCATATCGAGTTATATGTGGGCCGTTACTCACTGCGCCGTCATGTCGCGGGGGACGTGCAGTGTCGGAGTTTAAATGTCAGTGGAGGATTTAAATACCACGTCATAATATTAATATTGCGACGCGGCGAACATGAAATGAACGAACAGGTGAATATAAACGGTGCTCGCGCCAAGGACGCGCGACTACGGAAACAATAACAAACGCTGGTGCTCCGGGATCCAGCGATTAAATCAGTCTGCCGCGCGAATGTAAACGGATTAGAAAATGTCTCGCGTGATTCCCGGATTTGCGTGAGACGCATTATGCGCAATCGCACGTGCGATCGTCCTACCGGGATCGTCTGCGTCGAGCGAGAACGGAAACATCCTGGAGTGTCAATGATGACTGTCGCTTTTCACTTTCGTTGGCTCAGCAGGCAAATATAAACGTCGAATCGCCGCACAGTGGGCAAAACGACTCATTTCTTGGACAAAAATCTACCGACAGTGCAATTTTCAACCGATTTCAAAAATTTTCTTTTTTTAATTTACTCACGAAACATTACTCTACAACGTAGTACTGCGGCATTGATGAAAAAAAGCTTAAATTCAAAATGGCGGATAGAAAGTGCGCGACGAAAGTATTGAATTCGTGTCGAATGATACTTTCCTCTTATAATATTAAACATATTTACACTGAAATTGTTTCTTGGGTCGTTAAACATGAATTTGAGATCAAACCTAAAATTAAAAAATCAAAATAACATTTATTATAAAAGTCAAAAACGTCGAAACTTTACGAGATTTATTGGATTTACAGAAGAAAGAACATTATGCACTTGGCACATAATTATTTAAAAATTTTTCATATTTTAATATTAAATTTGTACAAAATGGCAGAATTTTGTTATATTGCTTTATAATTGCTTGGATAATAAAACAATATTTAAGCCCTTATACCACGTCAAGGTATTTGCCATTATAAGGGTAGTGTTTTTTTTCGTTTCTTTTTATTTTTTGTTTTTGTTTTCAATTTTTTAAACATTTTTATTTGTTTCAAATGTTTATGTTACATTTGTTTGAATTTTTTCTACTTACATTTTAGGTTAATATTTTTATATTTTAGACGCCATTTGTGTGTGTGTGTGTGTGTGTGTGTGTGTGTGCCGAATTATTGCACATAGCATTAAATGCCATTTGTATGTGTGTATATGCAATAATTCAGCACACACACACACACACACACACACACACACACACAAATAGCGTTTAAAATATAAAAATATTAACGTAAAATGTAAGTAGAAAAAATTCAAACAAATATAACATTTAAAATAAACAAAAATGTTTAAAAAATTGAAAACAAAAACAAAAAATAAAAAGAAACAAAAAAAACAGTACCCTTATAATGGCAAATATCTTGACATGGTATAAGGGCTTAAATATTGTTTTATTATGTAAGCACTTATAAAGCAATATAACAAAATTCTGCCATTTTGTATAAATTTAATATTAAAATATGAAAAATTTTTAAATAATTATGTGCCAAGTGCATAATATTATTTCTTCTGTAAATCCAATAAATCTCGTAAAGTTTCCACGTTATTGACTTTTATAACAAATGTTATTTTGATTTTTTAATTTTAAGTTTGATCTCAAATTCATGTTTAACGACCCAGAAAACAGTTTCGGTGTAAATATATTTAATATTATAAGAGAAAAGTATCATTCGACAGGAATTCAATACTTTCGTCACGCACTTTCTATCCGCCATTTTGAATTTAAGCTTTTTTTCATCAATGCCGCAGTACTACGTTGTAGAGTAATGTTTCGTGAGTAAATTAAAAAAAGAAAATTTTTGAAATCGGTTGAAAATTGCACTGTCGGTAGATTTTTGTCCAAGAAATGAGTCGTTGTGCCCACCGTACGCGCGATACGTTGTCGTTTACAACTAATTGGGAAACTTCCTTTTCCTTCGAGATCCGCCGGAACTTGCGAGTAGGTGTGGCTCCCGGGGGTGCAGTTCCGATGGATGCGGACGCCGTATACCGGAGGATTGGGTTCGAGCTGAGCAGAGTCGATTCGGAGGCAGGTTCTTAGACTTCGAGTGGTGTTGGAAATTTCGCGATCGGGGAACGCGGCCAAAGTCATCAAGTCAACAAAAGTCATTGAGTGACAATCACGGAGGGTTTTACGCTCCTGCCTATACGCGATGTTCTCGTGCGGCCACTGACTCTCGTAATTTAATAGGCGAAACTATTTTTTTTGTTTCCGGTCTGTAGAACTAAACATGGCTGACCCTGAGTTCCCGACATTTCGGTGAATGAACAAAATGGGCACGAAAAATGAATGGTCGCGGGACTACCGGCAATGAATATTTGTGAAACCTCATCGAAATCGACGCGACGAGTTTGTAGGTTTTTATCTGTCAACATTTGTGTCGCCCAGTTTAAGATAGACGTTTGAAAAATAATTAGGGGATCTTTAAATATTACTTAAATCAATTATTTTGCAAGCATGTAATTCCATCGCAGCAAAAGTAATGGAAAAGGTCGTATATTTCTCGTATTAAAAAATGTAAATTAAAATGACCACTTTGGACTACTTGTAAAATAAGTAAATCTTTGTGTTGAAAATTATAAATTTTTTGCTTTTCGGCCAAGCAAAAATGTATGGTTCCATTACAAATGATATCTTGATCTTAAAATCTCCGAAAAAAATAACCTTGAGAAAAAACGTCCCTGTCGTCGTAATTGCGATGTAACTTTTTCTTCCAACATTTCTTCCAACATCAAACACAACAGAAACATTTCAAGCGGTCAAGATATAAACAAAACACCCTGTACATTGGCCGTTTTCTGCGACGGTTATTACACTCGCGAAACGAAAACTTCATTTGTTTATGAACTGCGATCGTTCTTGCCAGAAACATGGTGGTATTTGGTTCGAATTTTTACACGCGATCCGCGCGATTTTCAGCACCGGAGTACGTAAACACTCGGGTATTCCCGAATTTCACCGGAATTTATCGCGCAATTTTCATTAAAGCATCAAGCGCCATTTATTTAAATTATCGCGCTCGCGAGTGCAGCACGGCGCGGTGTAGTGCAGTGTGGTGCAGTGGGACGAAGTGAAGTGAAGTGAAGTGAGTAAAGAGTGATCGACGCGGAACAATGGCCGGCCGCGCTACGGAGCTCGCGCTGAGGATGCGGAACGACGCGGACAGGACGCAGCTGCGAATATCATCGGTAGACAGCTGGATGTCATTAGGCGTCAACGCGAAATGGTGAGTATACAATTTGAACATTTACATCACGTAGTGCAAGGTTTAAACGTAAATTGCATTGATTTCTCATGAGAGAAAGTGCGAACGGTTGCAGGCGTTATTATTTGAAACTGCGAATATAATCGGTGTGCGATCTCTGTCGAAAATTTAATCGTACATATATATATATAGGATGTTTCAAAACGCACGCCCTTTGGCAGTGTGAAAGAGAATGAAATTCTGGGTCGAAAGTTCCTCTTCTATTTTTTCCTCCGACCACTAATAATAAAGTTATTAACGAGGAAAGTCGACCAATGGCGTGGCGCGCACGACTATCGCGCAGTACCGTACACTGGCGCGAGGCTCCGCCTTACGCTGGCGCCGAAATTAGTTTTTATCTGATGATATCAAACAGCTTATTTATCATCCGTTTGATGAGCTTAAGAAGTCGGAAAATACCTCACTTCTTCCTTTATCTTCACAGTTCGTTGTTTATCTTTTGAATTTCGTTGCGTTTAGGATTGAGGAACCGTTATTAAACGTTATTAAACAGTATCTCGTGCAAGAAATAACAATTTTGTCAGCCGTTTCTCAATCCGCGAGACATCGAAGGTGAAAACGTAAACATGGGAAAAGCAAAATAAAAGGTAAAACGAGAATTTATTGTGATGAATTAACACGTTATAAAAGAGTATACACATTACATAGTTGCTGCGAACAATGTTTTGAACAGGCGCTCTAAAAAATCGGTCTTTTTCATAATCACTGAAAAACCATTAGTCTTTATCATTTAAAATAACATTTAATAAAATTTCTATTTTTAAACTTGTTCTCAATCAATTTTTTATGTTTTCGTCGATTAAAAATCAACTAGCTCATCAAATGGATGATAAATGGACTATTTGATATCATCAGATAAAAACAAATTTCGGTGCCAGTGTACGGCACTGTGCACCAGTCATGCGCGCCATGCCATTGGTCGACTTTCCTCGTTAATAACTTTGTTATTAATGTTTGGAGGAAAAAATGAAAGAGGAACTTTCGACCCAGAATTTCACTCTCTTTCACATCACCAAAGAATAATCGTACGTTTTAAGACATCCTGTATTTGTGGACGTGTGTGTGAAATTAAATTTAAGAATAATAAAAAATTAAAATGACACAGGCGCTAAATTCGTCGGAATAACCCTCAACACGCGATATAACCAAGTTTTTCTAACCTTTCTCTAACATATTATGCAATTTGTTAACTCTCGATTGTTCGATAGGACGAAGTGAATGAGTTGCATCGAAAGAAGCGGGGAAACGATACGCCAAATACGCCACTGTGGCAGTTTTACGTTAATATTTAGAGACCACTGTACACGATTATCGAATGTTACTTGACGACAGTGCGTGTTGAGACTGTTTTGCCGATTAACAGGCTGTCACGGCGTGTTTACGTAGGAATAACACTCGAATCAAAATCTGTATAAATAGGTTAAGTTGCTGCCGATGCTCCAAAACGATGGCGCGCGCTTGCAAGTCGCGCGACGGTTCGCAATGTTCTTGCTGGCTCTCTCGGTATCGCGCAAAATAGAATAGCGCAGCCACCGCGTGTGGTAAGATTTTATGGACGTATTTGGAATAATCAATTTCGCGCGAGAGGTAACTGCTGTTTTAGATGCAAATTTTGGACGTAACCTATTGACCCAGAAACTCGTAATGACGTAGCTGTCGTTACGCTTTTAATAGCTTTTGATAACGCCCGCTCAAATGATTTATTAAATGTCTTTGTCACAGGGATTGTGCACGGAAATAGCAAAAGAGACGCGGGCTAGGTCGCAATCGTCGTCGTTAGAAATGCATACCGATACAATCGATTACATTCTTCCAAATATATTCATGAGCGCACTTTCCGTAAAATCATCGACCGATAACGCCGATTGAAGCGGCGAAACTGTCGATTGAGCGATTAAAAGGCCCCCGGGGGACGGATAAAGAAAGAGAGAGAGAAAAAAGATGCGCGAAACAGCCATTGGGAACGACATCGACAATTTGGGAAAATTTGTCGACAAAAAGAGAAAGAGGGGATCTCTTTTATTTCGGAAAAGCGTCGTGCTTCTCTCGTAAGGAGCAAAAATACAATTATTATCTCGGGCTTGGTCGCGATACGAATGAAAATCCCATAAGGGACACAAAAGCGAGCACGCTATGGTACGGTAAGCTGGGAAAAGCGAGCTTTTCCGTCCGGCAACTTGAGATTTATCAGACTCTTTATCCTCGAGATAGCATCTTCAGCATGTTCATGGGGCGAGTATGTACCCACTTTAAACGGTTCTCGACGTCGATGGGACTTTAGCCGTGGATCAGCCGCGCTCCGTAACACGGTAAATCGGAGCTTCTTAATGATTGCCTGACCGAACCTAATCTGAGCTCTCCGCGCCGGGAGACGACTCGCCGGCTACGATAATAAAAGAGGCAATTCGACCCGCCAATAAAGATTGTCTATAGTTCTCGAAACGTTATTTACCTCCACGTCCTTCGCCGCGACGAAGGATTATTTCGACGCGTTCTCTTCTCTTTTTTTTATTTTGTTTTTACGACACCAAGCGTCGCGCTGCTCTCTCGAGCGGCTCCGCGAGACTCGGACGGATCAGATGGCGATAATAGATACGAGGAACGGTGTTGCGAGAGAGAGAGAGAGAGAGAGAGAGAGAAAGATGAAGAACCTTATGGACTCTATAATTTCTCAATGTCCCCATATAACGCGCGTTTACGCGCCTGTAGCTGCACCGCGCGATTGAATCGACCCCCCCCCCCTTCTCCCTCCCGCTTTTTGAGAAATCCGATTTCCGCGAGACGTGATAAAGAAACGCATCCGGCCGTCGAGCGCGGCCGACATAAGTCACCCCAACGACGAATATATAACGCGCACGACCGAAATAACCGCCAAAACAAACAGCGTACGATGAAACGCGGGTGGCTCGCGCCTTAATGATTCGAAAGTAAGGGCCGAGATTCTCTCTCCTTGCGCAAAACTTGAGCGGCGAGGGAAATTCCTGAAAGTCATTCAACTTGCCCGCGAGATAAATAACTCTGTTTTAGAGCGACGGAAGCTGCTCGCAACTACTTCCATTAAGCTTTTACGAGTCCCGACGATGGCGGCGCTCGCCGCAGCACGGAAGACCGTTCGGCGGGTAAACAACGGCAAGAAAAAGACTCGGTGCAACTGCCACCTCGATCTCCTCGGTCTCCGATAACATCAATGATTCGGGATGATGGACAAGATGGAGAATGCCTCGGCGATAATCGCCGAAACGATTCTCTCGCGAGTCTGCCGATCGCTGCTAACCTCAACGAAATTCGCCCCTGAAGGGGAGAAGAGGAGCGCTCGGCACGCGTTTGCACGACAAACTCTCCCCCTAGTTGCGGGACACTCGCTGTATAAGCATTCTATATACAATGTGTGCCATCTGTATCGCGAATGCTCGCGGCCGATAGAGTCTCGCTGGCGAGCCGCTAACTCGCACGAGCAGCGAGCAGTTCGGTGTGGCGTCGTGGAAGTTTGCGTTCGTTTGACACTTACCGGGGATGCTAGTGCCGAGAGCGACGAAGACGACCGCGGTGACGGAATCCTTGATGCCCAGGGTGCAGCCGAAGTAGGAGGCGACGTCGCCGATTATCGCCGTGACGACGCCGATCCCCAGGATGCTGACGATGAAGCACAGGTAACCGCCGGCGATATCTGAAACGCGAGGGCGCGAAGATGAAGAGAAAAACGCCGTTCGAGACTCGTGTTCTCTACTGCCGCCGCCGCCGCCGCGCCGAGTCACGCGATCGCGCCGGAGGATCGGATAATAAAAGACGTGCAGGAGCACACCGGCCGCCGGATTAATCGAGATTTTATCCCGCGTGTAATTAAAGTCGACGCCCGATGAACGGGGGCTGACATCCCCCGCGATTTGTGTTTCGCGAGTTCGGCAACGGCACGGCTGCGAACGAACGAACCGCCGCAGCCGCGTGGGAATTCTCGTAGCCAGCTCCGTCCGGACTCGTCTGGAGATGAACGGGAATGCCGCGAAACTTCGTTCAACTTCGCCAACGACTGCGACGGCTCAACCACGTGTGAATACGCCGCGCAGTTCGGGAACTGCTTAAACGGCGCGGCCGTGTTATACATTTCGCAGTTCAGAAGGGTCGTGCAAATGTAGAATATTTTTTAAATATGATAATCGCGCAGAGCGTGGAGCTGCGCAAAGTTTCTCGAGATTACCGCCGCAATATTCTGGCAGCGTACTCCAGCGTACTCGTTCGGAATCGCAATCTCGGCGCAAAATGTCGAGGGTAGTCGTCGATTATTGCAATGTTTAATTGCAATTGTATATTTTTGCAGGCTGAAATCAAGGAAAAATGCAATTTTGTTGTTCACGTGGCTTCCTCAGCTGCTATTCAGAGATTAAAATCTAAGTAATAATCTTAATTTGGTCCTAGCTCAGTTAGTCCCTCGATGTTTTAACTTTAACTTTTATCCGTGGATTACAACGATGAATTAAAGCTCGATATGTTATTCGGAAACATTTTTCCAAAATGTTTAAATTTGGTGTTCAGGCTGAGGAAATTAAATCGTTCGGGTGGTATTCATAGTAGAATCTTATATACAATCGTCTCAAGTTTATCGTCTCAGCCAATGAAATGCAATCACTAGGGAATTGTCAGTATTCGTCTTTACATTTTGAGACCTTCATTTTAATTTGTGTGAAATTATTCTTGATGGATATATCAAGTAAAATATAGCGAAATGGGAAGGCTAATTGGACCATTGAAGAGGAGAAAAGTTTCCTCACGGATTCGAATAAAAAAGAAATAACATTATTGAGAAAAAAAATGTAAAGACACGGACACGAATAAAACCAAGCGAGAATATCGAAAGGAAATTCCTGATGATATCAATAGATATGTCAAGGCGCATATACGCGCCCTGTTGAAAGATTAAACTAACCTTTAATTACCTCTACAGGTAGGTTTAAATTTAAGCTGGTTTTAATACAAGACTAAATCATAAAAAAGTGAATACAAATGTCTCTATGGTCTCTTCTTGTACTATTGTTAAACTACGACTAAACCAAGCCCGTTTTGTCTCTGAATAGCACATCTAAAGTTTAATTCACAAAACAGCGGTTACCTTTTATTGATCTGTAGCTCGAGAAATATTATTGTTTTGACATGTTTTCACGTCAACACTTTCTACTCCAAGGAAGTCTCAGAGTGCGTTATTAAAGTATTTTACGAAGTACACTTTGTATTATTACATGCAGGATATAAAATATATTGGGGGAATATATCAAGAAATAGTTTGAGAAAAAGGAAAGATAATATTAAGATATACAGGATGTCTGGAATCTTTTGGAAGCGAAAAATTGTGAAGATTAATCAGATCAAACTGAGAAGAAAAGTCAAATATCATTTTGGAAAAATCGCAATATTTTTAATTATTATCGCAAATTAATAATTAAAAATGGCTACATTTAGAAGCTCTTTTACAATTGATAATTTGGAAATTTGTTTATTTAGTTACAAAATAATAAAGGACTTTTCTGTGTTCAGGATAACCTAATCTACAATTACATGACAGCTATTGTATCTAGAGATAGAAATGAGAAATATGTTGAACTCTGAACACTGAATCTGGAACTTGTCGCTAGGCACAATAGCCGTCATATAATTGCAGATTAGGTCATTCTGAACAAAAATGTTCTGTACCATTTTGCAAATTTTCAAGTTATCAATTAAAAAAGCTTCTACATGCGGTCATTTTCAATCATTAATAATTTGATAACTATTGCGATTTTTGCAAAATGGTACTTGACTTTCCTTCTCACTTTGACCTGATTAATCTTCACAATTTTTCGTTTCCAGAAGATCCCGGACATCCTGTACATCGTACATAAAAATTTTATGAAAGATGTACGTCTAATGAGGATCCATTTAAAACGCGGGTTGAGTGAATCGCCGTACCGCATTTGCTCCAACAAACTCCCGTCTAATTATTTAATATCGCACGTCGTATATATTCTCCCCTGCTCGGCGGCTCGCAACTTCTTTCATCGTGTCGTTTATTTGGGAAACGCGGTTTAATGGGCGCTTACGCGGATCGCTTTACTTATTTATAAAGCGTCAATTGACGTTTATCTAGCGGCATCTCGCAAGTACTTCGCACACCACCACGACAGGCAAATATTTGCGCAGGTCCTTTCCGGTCATTCAGATTAATTGGATTAATTAGATCTGCCAGAGGCCCGGCATTGTGCTCTCACGTACGATTGTGTGTGCACACGCACGGGTGTATACGTGCTCGCATGCGTGTACGCACACGCATCTCGAATACGGCCGCTGTTCGGGGAATTTTCACATTTTCCTGCCGGATCCGATGAACGAATTGAATACCGAACGTCAACGATCGCGCTGTCTAAGCTGACGATTGCGCGTCGCGCTTCTCCGCCGCCGAATTAATTTCTATTTATAATATGCGCCGAATGCGCGGCTACCTGCGCATTGCGCTTGCAGGACGCTTGCAGAAGCCGCAGTCAGTTTTGTCTGTGGAACGTGACCCGATTCCCTCGCACGAATTATGGGACCGCACCTGACGCACATCCTGACGTATGGGACACGATCCGCCATGAAAGCCGTAACCGCGATATCCGTTTGAATTACGACGGGAACGGCAAATAAGAATATCTGTAGACGCGTCGCCTCGTACTGGAATCTCATAGACCTCGTCACAAATAATCCAAAGCACAGAGCTTTCCGGAGAAACTCCAGAAGCGTTCGGGTGTAATAGGATCTCTGAGAGACAGACGAGAGAGAAAGAAAGAGAAATCGGAAGGTAATCTCGATGAAACTTTCAACGAACATTAAAATAGCTAGTGCCGATAAAAATCGACAAAAAGTCAAATTTGTCACTTGTGCAAAATGAAATTAACCTTTATTTTTTATGGATACTTTTATATATTGTGTAAGAGAGAGAGAGAGAGAGAGAGAGAGAGAAATTTCTCTCTCTCTCTCTCTCTCTCTCTCTCTCTCTCTCTCTCCCTCTTTCTCCCTCTTTCTCTCCGGCAAGAGGAAATTATTATTAGAGATCTTTATGGGAAGCCATGTTTACGGCGAACGCGGGCGTAAATATAGCTAAAGAGTTTGTAAACACGCGGTTAGCTTTACCGTTAACACGTGGCCGGTGTATATTATCGCAGCACGCTCGCTGTACTTGCTAAACTCGACTGATTTATTAACGTGTTTCGTGGTCTTTTTCAAGCTGTCAGATAGCAACTCGCCGCTGATTACATTATGTAATTATCGGAAAGTCAGCATGCTCGAGGACACCCTCGGGGTTGAGTGAGAGCTCGTCGCGATAACGCCATTAAATTAAACGTCTAGAAATATCGAAATTAATTACAATATAAATTGTCCAGTATTTAGTGGTTTCAGCGGTGATTCAGTAATTTATCATTTAAAGCAGCTTCGCACGAAGTGCGGATTGAGGAGGGCAGGACGTGTCTATCTTTACATTTACTGAACAAGGAAGTAGCATGCGCTACGTTCTAACCGCTAAACAAAATAAACACATACACATATTTCTTTTTGAAAACCACACACAGTATACATTAACTAATGTACACATATTTATTGTATCGTTGCAAAGATACCGCTCGCTCCGGCGAATCTATCAGTTCCTAAAGCTTATTGGGAAAAACTTGTTTAGTATCTCGAACACGCCGCTCTAGAGAGGCAGAACAGCAGCCATTGTCGTAAATTCCGCGAACGAAAATTACTTTGGAAAAGAGTATGCGGGCGCAGGTCGCCATAAATCACACGAAAATTTCGTAGAAAAGCAGAGAACACCGCGCGCGCACGTACGTGTACACTATACGTGCGCGCGCGCGCGCGCGCGCGCGTGTGTGTGTGTGTGTGTGTATAAACGGACGCGCGTTTATGGGATTTCTTAATATTCCCGAAAAAGCAACGATGCTAAAATATTTCGCGACGTTTCCGCACTTAATCCTCAAATGAAGTCCCGCGCGGCAGGTGTTCAATTCTCGGCCCCGAATTTTTACGACTTTTTTCCGGCGAAACGGCCGCGGCGGCGAGCGTGTAAAAATCGCTTCGTAAAGCTCGCCGGCGGGAGAGCGTTGCTGAAAATTACCCCCGGACAAGGCGCGACGTGTTCATGAATTTTCGAGAGGCCTGCGCCTCTTAAACAGCGCGTAGTCGTACGCGTAGCCGCGATTTTTCATTTTCACGACAGTTTCGAGCATGTCTGCTTGCGTCATTTCGCATCGCGCATTCTCCGGGCGTCGTTAGAAACCGTCGTTGTCGTCGTTACCTGAAAAAGTATCTCGATCATTTTCGGCGACCTCTGACTGGCCGGGTTTCTCTGCCGGGCGGCGCCCTCGCCGATTCCCGTCTCCGGGTAAAGGAAGGTAAATGTAGTTTTGCATCTCGCAACGAGGCGTTGATTTATAAGGATGACGGGGAAGGTAAGGAGGAGAAAGGACGGAGAGGAATAAACAGGGTGAAACTACGCTGCTCGATACAGTAGTTTCCCGAGCTTTTGCCAGTTCAGCAGGCTTTCGCGATTGTGCTCGCTGAAATAAAGCACGTTTTCTCCGCCGCCCCCTTCCCGCCTCGCCTCGCCCCGCCGCGCGCAGTCTTCCCTCTTTTCTTCCGCCCGCACCGTGGGGGCCAGAGCCCCACGTAACTAAAAGGCGTGGAGAAAATCCCTTCGTACCTCAAAAACAAAAGGAAAGGAGAGAGGAAACTGGAAAGATATTGGCGGAGGAAAGTCTCCGGCAAGAAGCATGGCAGAGGTGCCGCACGAGGAAATGAAATACCCGGGACGGGAGTGTGCGAGAAATCTTGTGTATTCCGCGGTTTGATCCAAGTACACTTTGTGTGTGTGTGTGTGTGTGTGTAAAAATACCGTAAACCACGTACTGCATAGCGCGTACTGCTGCAAACGTGGAGTATGAAAATGATACAAAGTACGAGTATATTACACACGTCGCTTTATCACTCCCCAACCGCTTATCCGATTTCTTTCCTCCCCCTCCCCCCCCGCCCCGCCTCCTCGTGTCTTCCTCCGTGACTTTCTCGCTTTCCTCTCGCGCCTCTCTCTCTCTCTCTCTCTCTCAGAATTTCCCGACCTCTGCTCCCGACCACGGCTCGCAGAAGCTAATTCTATCGGGGAAGGAGATAATCTCCCGACATCTTTGACATTTCACGTGTACCGCCCGCGGATAAAAAGCGTGCGAGACGCCGTGAAAAGTGTCGAGAACCAAGAGGGGCGTGATAACGCGCGCGCGAGAGCAAGGCGCCTTTTATCTCCGGCGTTTCCACACTCGAAGAAACGGAAACGGCGAAAGATCAGATATCTCACCGTGGTCGTACTTCAAAAAGCAGCGCGAGGATCCAGCTGGTGTTACACGCTGATCCCGCGGCTCCCCACGAGCTCTCTAAATTCCGCAATCCCCCGCGAAGCTGTGTACGTACTACTCCCTAACCTTAATATCTCCAGTCCCCGCCGCACTTCGGTTATTCCGCCTTTTCACTTTTCACTTTATTCCTGGCATCTTCTCCTCGCCCTCCTCGCGCGAACGTAATTCGCTTCCTTTCGTGCGCGATTACGTTCTTCTCGAAGTCGCGCGTTTCCTTCATCTCAATTAGCCACGAGCGTTTTATTATCTTCGCAACGTTCGTTCGTTAAATCGCGGAGATACGCCGAGTTTAATCCGATTTGCCGCGGGTCTTTCCGCGGTCTCTTGATCGATCGAGAGCATTTTCTATTCAGTCGCCGGCGCTCACTGATAAAAAGAACGGCGTTGCGCGATGTTGCGAGGTGCTCACGCGAAGGTATTTACACCGCGGCAGGTGTTGTCTCGCACACTCTTCTATCACTCGCGGCAAAACGCATCGCTATATTCACACTGGGTGTGAAACTAGAATGCATTCGTATCATGCGATCTTATCGCGCCGCGCGCACCGTATACATACATACATACATACAGCGGAATTAAATTGTTCCCAAAGGGATGATCCACTTTCTGGGGAGTAAGAAAACGACGCGCTGTCGCAACGTGTGTCATCGCACGTCAAAGACAATATTTCAATCCTGCGCGAAATGTCCTCCCGAATAAGTAAAACGGAAGACGGGAGATGACTCTAAGAAATATATATACAGGGTGTCCGAGATCTTTTGGAAACGAAAAATCATGAAGATTAATTAGATCAAATTGAGAGGAAAAGTCAAGTACCATTTGGCAAAAGTCAGTACAGTTGTTAAATTATTGATGATTGAAAATTATCACATTTAAAAGCTCTTTTAATTTGAAAATTTATCTATTTATTTATATGACGGCTATTGTGCCTAGCGACGGCTTCAAGATTCAGGATTCAAGGTTCAATATATACTCATATCTCTCGCTAGACACAGTAGCCGTCATTTGTAGGTTAGGTCATTCTGAACAAAAAAGTCCTTCATCATTTTGCAAATAAGTACACAAATTTTCAAGTTATCAATTAAAAGAGTCTCTAAATATGGTCATTTTTTATCAACCATGGCGATTTTTGCGAAATGCTACTTGACTTTTCTTCTCAGTTTGATCCGATTAATCCTCACAATTTTTCGTTCCCAAAAGACACCCACCCGGGACACCCTGTATAGTGTATTCAAAAAGTATATATAATTCATAAGGTAAGAGCAAATACGGGAAATATCCGTTATCGGCCGTCAAATGTGTGTTGGACGATGATACGAATCATTACTCACCGGTCGGTGGGACGAAGGCAAAGAGAACCTTCCAGAAGATGGTGAGCGAGTGCATGAGATAATCCATCGCCGATGGTGAGGACGGTTGACCGCTTCCACCCTCAGCGTCGTCCTCATCACCCCCGCTAACGGTCAATGCCTCCGTAAATTGTTCCTTCCAAGAGCTTGTGCCTGAAAGTGATATTTCAGAATTTGTGCCTCACTTTGGCGAGGGAAAGTGAAAGTGAAAGAGAGAGAGAGAGAGAGAGAGAGAGAGGGAGGGAGGGGGGAGAATTAAAAGATAAAAATATCTATTTTACGATCGTGTGATTAAGAGGACGTAAATGAGTGCCGCACGATCGGAGAATTTTATTTTGAAATGTAAACATTTCACAGTTTTTGTACAAAGTATTTGTGGCTTTTAGTTTTCATTTCTACCTTTGCTTTTCCCTTGCTGTCACCTGTGTCGCATTTATATCAAACATAAAATGAATAATCCTCTCCTCTGTAATGTCATCGGGGTATTTTCCTTTTTTACACAATTTCCCGAGCGACGTGCGTCTCTTATTTATTCGTGTATTATATTGTGAAGGTTTAGAGGAATAAGCGATGAACATTGTCACACGGTTACGACGTCAGTTTTCCCAATGCGGCAAATTTTCCGCATTTCAATGACTGACACCTCCAGAATTGAGTTTGCAAAATAATTCGAGAGCTGCCACAAGCAGCGAGCAACGGCCAGGGTTGAAGGACGAGAGGCTGGAGTATTCCAGACCAGGTAGGTAGACAAGGCGAGTGAATTGGCTCAACGGTGTAAGACGCTCGCTGCATCACAAAGGGGTATGATCCGTTGCGTGGCGAAATAAAGGGGAAGTCTCAAAAGAAATGCGAGGACAGGAGGAGGATACTAAGAAATTAACTTACACGTATATATCGCCGGTAATTTTAATTTTAATTAAATTACCTCCAAGAGGCGCGCATAAACGACGCTTTATTATTCTCCGTTTAATTTCAAGCGGACTCGATTTTAGTTTCATAATTACCCTCGTGCTTTAATAAATGTGTCGACAAGTTTTTCGTTCAATTTAGCTCTCTCGTGTCAGTCGCGCCCCGCTTCGATAAAGGCGTGTGCCGTCTCTTTGTTACTTGTGACCCGGCCCGAGCATTACCCGATCCTTAAATATTGTAAAATAATGTATAATGTTTGCACCGCGATGTGTGGAGAGTGCGCAGTTAATGAATGAGAAACGTAAACTGTGCTCTAGAACACAGGTTAGGAGTCTGGTGGTCCCGGGGGCAATAACATGTTTATGTGCGCAACTACCGGGCGGTCGTAACAGCCCTTGACGAGCTGGGCAGGAAGTCGGGAGACATCGCGCGTGATTCCCGAGTTTTCCAAATCGGAAAGATGTATCGCGAGTGATCCGATCACTCGCGATACGTCTTTGCGTTATCTGGCACGCGTAATCATCGCGCCATGATTATTTTGAGCAGTACGTAGCATCCTGAAATCGCAAGGTTCACGAAAAGCGTTCTTTTCCTCGCTACACTGAGAGAAAAGTATATGATATTTGGTACTATAATGATATAGTAACTAAATTATAGTCCGAAATACCATATTTATGGTAAATATTACCATAGTATCGGTGATAATTACGATATAGCCATAGTATAACCAACCATATAATATTTTTACTAAGAACTATAGTAAGTTAAACTAAAATTATCGTATGGATACAAATATAAAATGGTAGGTAAAGTAACTCTTTTGTATATATCAATATTACCAGAATATTTGCTAAATGATGGCAGATGCAACTACATGAGTACCATATATGTGGTAAAAGTAACTAAACAATTATTTCAGACAATCATTGACTATATATTTGTGTTTATTCTACTATATTTTGCAGGTTCCACCAACTATAAACATATGGTTGACGCCAAAATGAACTATAAAACATAGTGAGATTATAGTTAATTCAACTATATTTTTCTATCAGTGTGATCTCTCTCTTTATCAGCGTCTCTGTTCTTTATATATTCACATTTTTTAATCCTCGAACACTAGGACAGTTTTGTGAAAGCTCCCATTACTAGGACGAGTGAATTTCTACCCATAATTTTTTTTTTAGTTCTCCCCCTTTCGAGTATACATGAGCCATAAATATTTATGAACATTGTAAATTCCAGCGGAACACCGCTGTGTAATGGGCTTCTATATATCTAGCGGGGACAGTTAAAAAATATCATCGGGTGAATTTTCCCCCAGCCTAGCGTTAAAATTAAGTGGAAAAATTGTTCGTGTGCTCACGTCTTTTGTAACTGATCGGAAAAATTGCTCTCCGTTGCAGATCTTACGGAGCTCCGAAACACACGCTGGGCGCGGCTGCTGCCGGGAGGTGCCGTTTCGGCGGATGTAGCACGGGAGGATTCGGCCCGGGCCAAGCAAGTTCAGCTCGAAGGTAATTTATAGATTTCCCGTACTCTCGCATTTAATCCTTCGCGATCGAGAATTGAGGCGCGATCGCCCTCAGTAAAAATTGCCGAGTTACGACAATTGTAAAATATTAATTTCGCACTCGCTCGAATTTCAGTAGCGAAGTGAAGTAAAATACAATCGACGTGAAGAGATGAGTAAACAGTCAGTAAGTGTCACTTTACGTAGTGCATGCAGTATGTAAACAGATCGCATCGATTGTCAACGACAGAGTCGCCGCACGAAGAGTGCGACTGCGCAAAACTATTGTAAAAAGATCGATATTCCTTGTGTGAAAACGACGCGAAATATATAGTTAGGACAACAGATTATGCAAGGTGTGCGGGGTCTTTTGGAAATGAAAAATTATGAAGATTAATCAGAACAAACTGAGAAGAAAAGTCAAGTGCCATTTTGCAGATAAAAGTACGCAAATTTTCAAGTTGTCAATTAAAAGAGCCTCCAAATGTGGTCATTTTCAATCATTAATAACTTAACAACTATCGCGATTTTTGCAAAATGATACTTGACTCTTCTTCTCAATTTGATTTGATTAATCTTCACAATTTTTCGTTTCCAAAAGATCCCGGACACCCTACGTATACGATGAACTGAATACTTTATATAAAGTGACATATTGTAAAGTGTTTCGTATATGCATCAACTGTTGTTTAAACAATATTATTGATCGCACCGATGAAGAGATCTTATCAAAAGGCGATGTAAGAAAGACGCTATCTGTTTACACCGCAAGAAGTATCTAAGCGCGAAAGGCAAAAAGACATCGGTCTATCTCGCAAAATTAATGGATCTCGAAGAATGAGTGGCGAAGTCTCGACGATGACGAATCGTCTCCTCTCCTCTCAACAACGTAATAACGCAGCTCACTCTTGCTCACCACGGACGATGAGAATTGTAGAAAGGTCGACACGTAGCCGATTAGTAACAAAGATTCCTACCTGCTATTATATAAACAAACAGAATGAATGGCCTCGCATCTTGCCGGGTCGATATTCGTTTCGCGAGTTACAAAGGCTTTAAGAATCTGCGAACACTTTGAGATTCAAAATGCTGAGATCGCGAAATGCAATCCCTTGGCCACTCACAAGTATGGCCATTAAGCCTCTTGCGGTTCTACTTACTGGCAGAAATTAGTATCAAAATGGTTAAATTTTTTCTGCGACGAAAAACATTTACTTTCATGTTTTACACTGATAGAAAAATATCGTTGAATTAACTATAATCTCACTATATTTTATAGTTCATTTTGGCGTCAACCATATTTTTATAGTTGGTGGAACCTGCAAAATATAGTAGAATAAACACAAATATACAGTCAATGATTGTCTGAAATAATTGTTTAGTTACTTTTACCACATATATGGTAATTTCTCATTCACAAATATAGCGAGATTTAATATTCATATAGTTACATCTGTCATCATTTAGCAAATATTCTGGTAATATTGATATATACAAAAGAGTTACTTTACCTACCATTTTATATTTGTATCCATACGATAATTTTAGTTTAACTTACTATAGTTCTTAGTAAAAATATTATATGGTTGGTTATACTATGGCTATATCGTAATTATCACCGATACTATGGTAATATTTACCATAAATATGGTATTTCGGACTATAATTTAGTTACTATATCATTATAGTACCAAATATCATATACTTTTCTCTCAGTGTATGATATAGTTTTCGAACGTGCTGATTTCAAATTTGAGGTTGTTGCAACATTCAAAATGGCGGATCAAAAATGGCGGACCTGAAAGTAGTAAATCTCATCCCGAGTCAGACTCGGGTCTAAGCGTAAGCCAGTTAAATGATCAGTCGATCAATCTGATCAACGCCGTGTATAATGGTAAATTATACTCTAAGAACACGTCCTTCAGCGCTTTCTGGAACGCGGCCAAGGCGGCCCAGGAGAAACATTTGCTTCTAAAAAATTCTCAGAGAAAATAAGCTCCCTTATTGAATGTCGCGTACGTCCCAAGAAGCACCGAAAAAGAATGTGTGTCAGCCTTTATGGCCGCGCGATTGTAAAAGACCGGCGAGTTGACAAGGGAGTCCTTTCTGCCCGGGGTAGAACATTATCCATAATGCGCAATTTAGCTGTTGTTCCCCGCACTAAAGACTCGATCATCGAATGTATTCAGCGCACAGGACGCTGTTATAAAGTAGCGCCCTGTACACACTTAAACCCACGATCATGTCGGACGAGGGAGTGAAACGCTTTATCGAGGGCGAAAGTCGAAAAACGCTTTGAGCGGTTCTGCTCCACGAGGCGAGCAGAGGGCAGAAAATGCAGAAAGGGAAACCGAACAAAGAAAAGCGCGCTATAATAGACCAATGCAATCTTTCCACCGTGATCGCCCCTCCCTTCGTTTCCATTTCTGCATACACAACACACACACACACACACACACAAACAAAACACGCGCACGCACCAAACACACACAGGCGAATATAATCAAACGTCGCAGTTCCGACCGTTTCGTACTGCGGATATTTATCCGAGATATTCGATTGAGAGCTTTGCGCGAATATAATCAGCAAATTGCATATTAATATTTGTAATGCTCATAATCCGTATAATATATTCGAAACGTATCTCCCCCGCGGACAATAAACATCCCATTTATTAGATATCTCGCAGTATCGCTGCAAATTTTATCCCGTTCCCACCCGTTATTTTATACGATTCACGAAAAGCTGACTTAGCGTCGTTTCGTTTAGCGTCGGGCGATTATTCTCGGGCAAGATCAACGCGAGCTCATTCCGGAAGTGCAGGAACGGATGCGAAGAATTTCCTCCGATAGCTTTGAGATGGAAAGGCGGGTAAATTCGAAGGAGAGACCCCGAGACGAGAGAGAGAGAGAGAGAGAGAGAGAGAGAGAGAGAGACAGTTGCGCGGTGCTCTCTGCGCGAGTCCGATCTCTCGCGCACACGAGAGAAGAGGAGAGAGTAGCTTTGCGGAGGCGCCTTCGTGAGGAGACGAAAAGCACATGGAACAGTTTCCTGCCGCCGTGAGGAAAAGGAAGACCTCGAAATAGCGCGAGCAGGAGGAAGCGAACAAAGGAAGCTCCGCGCTGTAACTGATAGCTTCAGATAGCTTCGCGCTTCCTATTGTCTTCTACGCGCGCGCAACCGATATCGAAAGCGAATCCGGCAGAATGCCATTTTCGAGGCTTCCACCGGGAATTTACGATATTCGCAGCGAGAGGCGACAATGCGCGACGTCATCTTCGGCGGATCTTATTTCATGCCGTCGCGAGAACGCCAGCAGCAAATCGTACAGTCACGCGACTTTTTTTCAATCTGCAACCGTTGCGCGCGTCGTTGAAATTATCTCTGCTCGTTGAAACGATCGATGATCGCACTTCGAGAAGCGTTCCTCGCGATTATCAATTCCGCCTCTCGCGATCGCGCTCGATTCCCCCGATGAGGCGATTTCTGCCGACCGATTGAGACGGACACTGGCGTTTTCCCACGGGAAAAGCAGAGTCACGGAGAGACTTGACGGAGCTGAGTGGAATCCACGGGGGAATTTCTGCTAAATCTACTTTCGCGATATCGTCGCAGGCGCATTCAGAAAAGTCAAGAGTCAAAACGAGCTGTCTGGAGGCGCGCAGCAAGTGCAGAGCGGGAGGCTACGTGTATCGCCCTATTACGATGCAATTCGTATCCTCCGACGCTTCTTTTGCATCTCTCACGAAGCTATCTTCTTTTACAAGACCAAAGGGGAAAGACGAGGAAAAAGACAGTGAGGGAGGGGGAGAGAGAGAGAGAGAGAGAGAGAGAAACAGAAATTCGCTTCCCTCCGTGATTCCAATTTACATCACGCGCCGCGCTTTTTTCACGTCGGAATCATTTCGCATGATCGCGAGAAATAAACGGAAAAATAGGAAATAAAGCGAAAAAACCGGTTGCTGGTAAAACGCGCTGCGAATCCGCCCGAAGACAAATTAAATCGCAGAGAGCGCTTCGTTGTTTCGCGACGTGACCACGATGACGTGCACGCGCTGTAACGCGGCCGGTTATTCAACGCGAAGTCGCGGGCGCGCCAATATTTTAAGCGCGCCCGCGACATTAATCGCGAGCGCGCCGGCTCGAGATCCGATGATTCGCGATTTATACGAGATTAGAAAGAATCGCGCGGAACACGAAGAAATATGGAAGGTGAAGTACGGACGCCGCGCGGGACATAAAACGCGACTCCGCATAGCGAAGCGCGGCGGCGAAGACGGCGGAGGAGGCAGGGGCGGGGACCGGGGCGGGGGCGGCGGATGCAACGAACGCAGGAACGTGAGAATCATGCATATGGCGCCCGGGGAGTCTTGAATTTCACGAGGCCCCGCATAACGCCGCATTCCTCGAGGTTGCATCTCTGAAGAGCCCCAATCTAGATGGCCGGGTCTCGCGATGCGCATTTTGTCCTCCATTGGGAGTGGTTAGCTTGCTGTTGGCTTTAGGCACTTGTCGTCCAATAATAAATTTACGACGCTTCGCGCGGCGGACCCGGCGTCAGCAGGGCGAAAGATTTCGTTACGTTTTTTATGCCTACGTCCCGCGGCTGAAACATGTATTCGCGCGAGCGCGCTGTGTCTCCGGGAAGGGCTGAGTTTACACGGGGGGGGGGGAGGGGAGGAATATGTTACCGCCGTTTCGGACGTAACAAAGTGTTCGGGCTGCGCTCGGTCGAGGTCACCGTTCATCGATTATTGCTTTCGATCGGCATACTTTTTTCCGGCTCCGTCAGCGACCTAAAAACATACTATGATTGCAGACAATAAATGCGCTAACCCGAGCAAAAAAATTGTTAGGGCCATCCTCATGAAGCATAAGGCCCCGAGATGAATTTTTTAGGGATACCTTAAATTTTACGAAATAAGGTTTTAATAGGGAAAACTAATGAAAATGAGGGCCTTAGAAGGATTTATTAGGGATGTCTTAAATCTAATAAATAAGGCTTTGATATAGGGAAAAGTAATAAGAGCCTTGGAAGAATTATTTAGGGATGTCTTAGATTTTATGAAATAACGCTTTAACATGGAAAACTAATGTGGGCCTTAGGAGGATCTTTTAAGAGGATACTTTAGATGTACAAAATCAAATTTTGTTATAGAAAATTAATAAAATCTGAAGCGTGTAATAAAATTGTCATAGTTTAGTATTGTTTTAGTAGGTACGCTTTATCTGATTCTTTTAAAGATTTTTTTAATTATATCGCAATTAAAAACAAGTTTTATTAGTCTCTTCCAAAGATGTTTCTAGTATCGTCTTCGTTTTGAAATGCAGCAAACTTTAGTAAAAACAGTTAACACGGTTTTGATATGTAAAGAATGCTATATTTTATTGCAAAGTATGCTATATTTTTAAAATAAAAAATTCTTGTTATACACTAATAAGATTATAAAGAAATAAAAAAATTGCAGTCTAAATTCCTTGGAACGAGAAGAACGAATATTTTTATTCAAGCAATAACAAAAATAATTCCTTATAAGGCCCTCATAGTGTTGCCTTATATAGGACCCGTTAAAGCATTTGTTACACATCTTGTAGGGCCCTTGTCTTTCTATCCCTACTAGGGATATATTGATTAATGTTAAAGAAAAATAATCAGACCCTTACCAGAGCCCTATTAATTTTTCTACTTGGAAAGCGCTTGCTGCACGCAGCCAAGCCAAACAGCAAAAATGTCCAAAATACAGTCTCAAGGACACCCGAAAGACGTATGCGAGACACAGAATGTCTCCTAGACGTCTTTTAGACATTTATGCCGTCTGGGGACAAGTGGCTTTCGAAAAGCGAAATCCTGGAGTGGAACTGTTCCACGGGAAGATCGCGTTAGACAGGTGCTCACCGAGAATGATGGAGGCGTTCGCTCGCTGTACGAGCTTGTCCACGGTGTTCTTGAACTCCTTCGACTCCTTGATCCTGATCTGAGCCCGTGACACCTCGCCTAATCGCGGTCTGCCCAGCAACGCCATTTTCTCCTCCTCCGTTCTCTCCTCCGGCTGCTTCAGCTCCGCCGCCGCCGCAATTCCTGCCTCCGCTGAAACCAGAAAATCGCGCCTTGCTGCTTCAGTGATGTCGAGGTATGTTCTAAATCGAGGTGAGTTGAGAGTCGGCTCGCAGTCAGACAGGAACAACCGGGGGGGATCGCGGATAATTAGCTTCCGTCGTCTTTAAATCATTCCTGCGCGGCGTAACGAGCACATGAACGACATAATAACGCGTCCATTCCGCGGAGCTCCTCGTCGAATATTTCGTGCAGCGAAATATGTCGCTGCTCGGCCGTCAACGCGGGATCCTTGAAATTGGTGGCACGCGTTTTAATATCGAATTTTAATATCGCGACACACACACACACACACACACACACGTATTTAATCGAAACAACGACTGACGTGAAATTTTCATTTCGCGTTCCGCGATCCGCAGAAAACGGTCTTTAATTGCACGGCGGTCCCAATCAGACCGGCGAAAACGCTATCGCACGCGTGATTGATTGATTTCCTCGTGTGTGTGTGTGTGTGTGTGTATGTGTGTGTGTGTGTGAATACATTCATCCGACGGAGGCTTTAAAGGAGGCCGATGAATGCGACGGCTCGCGTTCTCGCGTGGATAAGGCTTTACTATCGATTGCCCTCATGAATTATAGTCGCACGCCTCTCTCTTAGGCCAATTCCGTGCTCCGCATTCGTGTCTGACCACACGCCGACCCGCGCCACTTGCACCGAGGCACTTTCCTGCTAGCGTTTCATGATGCGTTTCTATGTGTATGTATATATATATGTGTGTGTTGTGCGCGTGTTAGATGCGGCTGCGGTTGTGTGAGATCAGCCCAATGAAAGAGAACAAAAGTATTCTACGTGGCCGTGTATACAAATGTGGGGACGGTGTGTGTCGGATGATATGTGTGTTAATTTTGTCGTTATTACATGATCATTACAGTACACGTGTGTGTGACAGGCCCGCTCTCTCGAACTGCGGAGGCAGTCGCGGACATGTTTTACCTCGACGAGTCTTGAAACGCATCCGCCGGCCAATAGGAGAATTTATCGTCCGAAATATCGTCCGTAGAGCCGATTCTCCCATCGGACGCGGATGGGTCGCGAGACTCATGGAAAGTAAAATGTTGCAACTTTCTTACCGCTCGACTCGGCGCGAACTTTTAAAAGACGTTAACAAGATGTCTGAAAAAAAAAAATAGAGAAGGTAGAACGTCCTTTAGACGTCACTCGGGAGTTTACGCTGTCCGGACATAGGCGCAGTTCGTATTCAACTGGTCTGTATTTTTAACTGTAGATTTACAAGAAAGGAGAAAGTATCCGTGCGTGTAGCTCTTCCCGAGGCTGCGAGGAATTCGTCCATCTCGTTTACTCATTTATTTATTTAGTTTCACTTTACTTTGGCTATTTATTTATTTATTTAGTCGCGCTCTCTCCGCGCCGCGCCGAAGCGGGCGCCGCGCTTGGCGAGCGCGCGAGCTCGCTCTCTCTCTCTCTCTCTCTCTCTCTGCGAAAAAGGAGAAGAGAGAAGAGAAAAAAGGAGGATCACTTATGCCCCGAACATTTCCCCGGCGAGAAGACGCGGGCGGCAGGTCGTTCTCTCTTTGTGCGTGATGCTTTTTTATAGTGGAATCGCTGAAAACTTTCCTCTCCCGGGATAATTCCCGGGGACTTTTCCGGCAAATCGGCGGCGATATTGAGTTTCCTCTGGCGAAATTCTTGTGTGACTCTCGTGACTCACTTCGCGGCCGGATCTGTCGTCGCGCGCTACCCACCCTCGTCTCGTTCACTCCCCCGCATCCCCGATATATATATATATATATATATATATAGGATTACGCACTCTTCGAATTTTGCGCCATTTCACCCTCACTAAACCACCGATAAACTGGCGGATCATCCGGCGTTCCTCGCCTACCGACCTGGCGTCGCGCCATCACAAGAAAGAGAGAAAGAGAGAGAGAGAGAGAGAGAGAGAGAGAGAGAGAAAGATTGCCTTTCATGACGCAATAATTCGCAGCGAGCCCGAATATATTGCTAACAATTAACGCGAAAGTATCAGGCGTGTGCGAAAGTTTTGGTCTTTTTTTTTCAGCCCTCTAATATAATTATTTTAATTCGAAATATTTTCCTGTCATTTTGTAAGGTCAGTGAACTTAAGCGCCATTAGGCCTGTTCGTTTAGTCTGCACTGTTGCAACTGGTGCAACAAGTTGAAGTGAGAAAATCTACGTTTGTCTCACTTTAACTTGATGCACCAATTCAGCAGTGCAGACAAAACGAACAGGCCTATTATGACTCATTGGTGCACATAACCTTAAAAATAATAGTTGATACAATGAGCGACGAAAAGTAGCAAGGAAAGAATGCTGCTAGAGCATGCGAATGAATCCATTCGCTCTGTTCTTGAAGAAAATATCGTGTCCCACAATACGTGCAAATATTGGCTTCGTCGCTTTAAAGATGGCGATTTTGACGTAAGCGATCGTTCGCGCTCTGGAGTGCCACGAAAGTTTTGAGGCCGACAATTTGGAAGCGTTGTTGAATGAAAACCCGTCCCAAACGCAAGTAGAACGCTCGCAGAACAGCTCGGAGTTGACCAAGCAACAGTTTCAAGGCGACTGCATGAAGTGGGAAAAATTCAGAAGCTCGGAAAATGGCTGCCGCATGAATAGCATTATCCGCCGGTTGAGTGCGTTTCATTGCTTTCCAGACAGCGCGGAAAAGATTTTCCGTCGAAAATTGTTACTGGCGGTAGATTATTATTATGACAATCCTAAACATACACTCATAACAAAAGAGTCATTTTGTGTATTTGAAGGGATGCGACAGGTTATGTGCACCGATTAATCATGCCGAATGGCGTTTTAGAAAGTCCAACGTCAAAACTCACAAAAACTCGAGACGGCGGGAAAATATTTCAATTGAGAATAATTACACTAGAGGGCCGAAGAAAAGATTAAAACTTTCCACAGACAATAATACCTCCGAGTGGCCCTAATGCGGAAATTGAACTAATTAACACGTCGACCCCGGTCGTGCCGCTGATTGTTTCGACGCTCGGCTAAAGTTCGAATCCCCGAATAGACGCGGCGAATAAATGCAATTCACACGCGACGCGTGCATTCGTTAGCCCATTTCATTATCTCCTTGTTGGCTGCACATTTCGTTTGTTATACGCAATTAGCCAGTTTCCGTTACGTGACGTTAATCGATGAGTCGCGACTAGGAATGCAACGATGCGAATCGATAATATCGAAATATCGATACATCGAGAGACAAATATCGAATATTTATCGATACTTTTTGTCTCCGATAAAATCGATATATATATATATATATATATCGATATGAATTTTATTGATATTTCGTATTTTTCAGTTACAGCTCTGGGGGACTGTTACGGTTCTACGACCGAGATGAAAATTACAAAAGTGAGTGAATTCACTGGAATATATATTATGTAATTGGTCGATGTCTAGTAAATCCGCTCATTTTCATCATTTTCACCTGAATCGTTGAACCGTAATAGATCTCCCGCTCCATTGTACGCGGTGATCTCCGGCAAACGCGACTGCAGTTCATTACACATTTTCTAATAAGAATACGACAATAAATTGTATGAAGATAAAAATTGTTAAAAGATCTTTTTAAATTTTTCGTGTATACCCTTTACACGCATACCCCTATAACTCAATAAGCTCACTCAATAAGCTCGTAGGATGACATATAAATGGCGCTACTATTGACAAATCCATATGATTTTTACGAAGTACTAACCTTCAAATGATACGTGACAAAATTTCATGACAATCGGACGCTTAGTTCACAAGTTACAGCGGTTTTAGTGACGCACGACGTCGACTCGTTTTAGCAAGGCTTCAGTTTCGGCAATCACTTCTTCATTGGAGCCAAATCTCTTTCCCTGGAGCTTTCCCTGCCGATTTGACTCTAGAGTGTAGTGATGGGACCCTTTTACATCCATCGTCACGTACCGCATCAAAAAATCCTTTTTATTGCGCTGAAACAGCTCCAAACAGCCCGCTGAATCGTCGACGCGTCACTAAAACCACTGTAACTTTTGAACCGAACGTCCGATTGTCATGAAATTTTGACACGTATCATTTGAAGGTTAGTACTTCCTAAAAATCATATGGATTTGTCAGTAGTAGCGCCATTTATATGTCATCCTACGAACTTATTTTCAGCTGCACTACGGAACTAGTGCGATAAGTTAGAATGAGACAACTATATTTTTTCTCACTTTAACTTATTGCACCAGTTCAGTAGTGCAGCTAAAAAGAACAGATCAATTGAGCGATGTGTTATGTATACATTTTTTATATAAATATCGATATTTTTCAAAATTATCGATATTATCGTTATCGGTGGTTCTGAATGACGATAATATCGATATTATCGATATTTTCGAGAAATTGTTGCATCCCTAGCCGCGACAGTATCGTGGCGGTCGACAAAGCAGCGCGTTTAAATGCGCGCGCCTTTGTCCTCTCGGCTACGTCAAAATTGTGAATATTCCCGAGCAATCTTTCTCAGACGCTATTAACATAAAACATATTGAAAACATTCTCCGCCATTACCCAAGCCCCTCTTCTCTCGCACAGACAACCCTCGTCCCCGTCGAAGATATCTCCCTTGCGGAGGGGATATAAGTTTGTTTACTGCGGCTTTCACTCTGTGTGTATTCTCGCGTTACCCCCTTTAAAAGCTTCTTATCTCCCCGAAAGCACATATCTCGCCGAAGCTCGGCGCTTTCTGTCCGCTTTCCGCGCCGACGAATTCAATTCCGTTTGATTTCGCCTCGATACGGCAGCGACTGCTCGGCGATTTCGACGCGATCGAACGTAAATAGAGAAGAGGGGGAGAGAAGAGGGCAGAAACACAAATTAACTTATTAAGAACCGTGCGCTTTTGAAAGCCCGTAGCTCCTCGTAACTTGCACTCGTCGAGGGCCACGAGGCTCATTAAAGAGACGCGTTCGAACGAAAGAAATGGGAATACGATTTATCAGGCGGCGGCGG